ATAGATAGATAGAGAGAGAGAGAGAGAGAGAGAGAGAGAAATTTTTATTAATTATTATATGGTTTATTTATTGATCATTATTATTAAATAAAATACAATTCAATGTCTATATTCTAAATATAAATAATTATTACATTAACCATCAACTCATACATCTATACAATTGATTACACGAATCACACAACTCTAAGACATGATTTATAATTACATATAAAATAGAAACTAAATAAAAGGCTTAAAGATTAGCGAATAATGAAAATCGATTAAAACATTTACAATACATATTATTTATATAAGACAACAATTTTCACTCCAATCGATAAATCATTGTATTTTTGGTTGTGAAATAGATTTCGAGATCAAAAAATTACATTCACTTTATATTTATAGACTATTTATATACTAATAATAATATTTTAAGTACTTTTTTGTGCTCACAATTAGACAATTGATTTCTTTATGATAATCATTGACTTAGAGATTAAAACAACATTCAGTTTCTAGAGCTGACCAGATTAGACAACACCCAACTGGACGTCAATGAATTGGTGCCGTTTGTGGTGCCGGTGCCCAACATGTTAGACATTGTGGGCAGCATTAGTAGCGCACGGGTGTCATACCCGGGCATTAGGTGCTCGTAAAACTTGTGTCCGAGCGCTGGCATCAGCTGTTGGCCAGCCATGGCTGAGGTATGCAATGGGGACAGCGATAGGTCGTGACCTCTGAAGGGCCGGAATGTGGAGAAAGCGCTGGCATATCGTGAAGCGGCCAGACGTAGGTCTATGAGCTCTGACGACAGTCTTAATGACCTGAGTTTGGACTCATTATAACTGACTTCCGACCCGATCATTAGCTGCGGATTAATGTAATGGAAAGGATTTGTCGGACCGTTAGTCTGAACCGATAGCTCCCTGTGAACGGGGTTTAGCTGTAGCTGAGATGTAGGGGCTGCTGTCGTCGACGGTGGTGTGCGTGGGCTGACCGCCGGTACGGCTGTCCTCTGTTCCGCTTTACACATATTAATCGCCTCAATACTAATGACCGGAGCCTTAGCCACGCATTTGTGGTCGTGTTGTGAGCGGTGTATGGCTTTCATGAGCTGCAGATTCAGTTGCTTTGTGACTGACTTTTTCACTTTTCGCGGACCCCTCTCTTCCTGAACCGCTATTTTGTTTTATAATATTCAGCCAAATAGTTATAATACAAAAGCTATGAGTGTTTTATGTCTTAATTATTATAATAGAGAAATTTGTTGTTTTCGTATTTTATATGATATTTAAATAATGCCTTTGTGTGAGTGAAACGAATCTCACGCTATATACTAAATCCCATTATATTTGAGTCTTAATTTTATTATCAAAAACAATAATTATATTGTGTATTATATTATTGGGAAACGGGGTTCAATCGTTAAAGTAATAAAAGTGTGTGTATATTTAATATTTTTTCTACTCATCTTAAATCAAAAAATAATAAATAAAACAAATAACAAAAAATCACAAAAACATTTTTATTATTAATATTAATTCAGTGTTTTAGTGAACACATGATTTGCAAATATAATGCATACATAATAGAGACATGCAATCAATTGAAATGAGAGCACTGAATAAAAGTTTAACAAAAAACACACCAAAGTGTGTGTATATAAAATAAAGCGCTTTTATATTTAAATAATTTATGGCCTAATGCCAGGGTATATATGATAAATAAAATGATTTTTTAAATTGATTTTGCATACCATAGCGATTCATATTCACACGAAAACACTTCTGGAGCCGACACGAGGGACACCAATTGCGACGGGCTTTGTCTATAACGCACTCATTTGTGCCGGCTATTAGCGATTTGAATATTTTTTATAAGGAAAAAAGTTTTGCGAAACTGTTTTGTTAACTTATGGCACTAATGTATGATAATTAAAATGTCTCAGCGGATTAGGTATACATACTTATGCACCGATAGTTGACTTTACGTCGGATACTCCGCTTGAAAAAACACGAACAGCCGTCGCTTATATTGGTATTAATATTGATAATTATAGATAATATTAATTTAATAGTCATAGCAATGAATATAAATGAAATCAAAACATATGTTTATTTATTATAGAGACAATACATACCAACAGTAAACGCCGTAATGTTTTCTGCTTAATAGAAATAATTGCACTTAATATTTGATTTCAATTTTTTTTAAAAAGTTTTGTCTTTTTAAAAGTCAGATTAAAATCTATGAATTCAATACCCATAGGATTTGTCGCCACAGACCTCACAGGCCACGGGCACCGGTAATGTACGACCCATTGGCTATCAATTATGACAGAGACTAGTGGTCCGACGTTCACAGACTGAATGCTGAGCCGATAAAAGTAGGGTTCGGTCGGCGTTGCTGTCATTTTATGGCTGACAGAAAAAGTGGGGATTTTTTTTAATTTAGGGATAAAAATACAGTAAAAGTTTTGCGTTTGGAAACGCTTTCGTCACTCTCGCGGACAACGAATAAGAAATAAAATCGCGATCAATTGAAACGCGATCTTAAAAGATGTGATCAATTATTAATTCGCCTGAAAAGCATTCAAAACACTAAACCGATCGTTACTTTGATTTCAGGTGCAGTCTCTCTCTCTCTCTCTCTCTCTCTCATCACTCACTCTCTCGTACACTCTCCATGTGTTCTCATTGTATGAATGTGTTTTCAAATGCATAATAGATTTATACACTTAACTAATGGACAAATACATGAGCCGGGTGTAGACAGGGTGCATACAAAATATGAGTGAAACTTAATTTAATATGCATAAAAATATAAACTAATATATGAGATTACATATTTCCATCTTGCTCATATAATTGTGTTAATTAACCCAAATTCAAATTAACTAGCAAATTATAATCCCACACATTTTCTACATGATATGTCTCGTAAGCGCTGGCAATGCCGTCAAATGGACAACAAATAGCATAATTGTTTGAAAAGAGAGAGTATTGCGGACACCAGACAGAGATAACCAGACAATAGACTTAAATCGCTCTCATATTATATACACGGAGTGGTAAAGTAAGAGCACAGTTACCCTACACTTGGAGGACATCGGTACTGTATATGTATAATGAGGCGAATGATTGTAAATCATGCAAACTCTACACCCATAGGCTGACCGTCTATTTTGTGCGAAACTCAATAAACCCATGAAATCTAATATTATTTAATCATTTGATGGCTAATGTCTTGGCATCGCTAGACAGTGCTGGGGTGGGTATGTCGTGTGTCTGTGGAAGTGCTGCATTGAGAGCACCGATACCATTGGCATTACCAGTGCTATTACAAGCACGTGGCACAGGTGCACACACATACAATCACCGTTAAGGCACATGCCTTTCACTCACTCGCACGACAGTCCACTGACAAGCGACTACTGCACTAAGAAATGACATTTAAATGCATTTATAAATAAATAATTAATTTCTATCCCAATAAAAGCTATGCCTTTCACTGCCTACTCGATGCCCGTGTAGTCAAACACTTTTGCCTCTCAATGCTCGTCAAAAAGTGCTTTTCATTTGTGTTTTTGTGTTTTGTGCGCCTATTTTGTGAACAAATCTCTTTTTATTGCTGATGAGCCTAAACTTTTTTGATTTGAGAGCTGCTTTTCTAAAGCATTCAATGTCATTTGAGCTACAGTTACATAACTAATCAATTAAAATGTTTGTCACAACAAAAAATGTTTTTCACACTAGTTTTAATATTAATATTAATTTGAATTAAAATATAAATAGCATTCTCATTTTTTGTTGCAATTTCTCTCTCTCTCTCTCT